CTACCAGCTGATTAATGGAACTCACTTGTCAGCTCCCAGTCAGATTGACTAATAGAGTTAACGACAGGTCAAGTAATTTCCAGTTTGTCACAGTCCAATCTTGTCTGGTCCAGTTAAAACCCAGCTCAGCTCAGATCCCTTCTCTTCACTCCAGTCCTCAGCCCCCCAGTCCTGCTCTGGTCACTGAAGGTCAACCTGGATGTGAATTAATTTACTGCAAATAAATCAGCTAAATTGAAACGGCAAACTGCAGCTCATTACAAAAAGGTCAGACACATACAAGATGCTGGGGTCACGATGGTTCCTCCTGCCTCTTCCTCTGTGGCTAATAGAGTTTAATCAGCCTCATTATTGCTGAAATAAATTACCTGAAGTACAACGAGTAAAATTATTCACACACTTACAGGTTTTGGGAATGGCGGTCAATCTCGCCATGACTCTAAATAACCCCTGATAACATTTATACTTCAGAAGCACCATGGAAACTGGAGTCAGTATCTTCAGTCCACTTGACAATGCCGGTAACTGGAGGCATTAATTTGTCTGTCAGCTGTTGATAAAGGGTCCACTGACAGCGAAGGCATCTTATTTTTCTTCCTGCAAACACAATATTTTGAAAAAGACGACAATGTGTCAGCGCTGTACAATATTAACATCACTTTCGGGCCGATAAATCTCCCATTTCGGACCGTGACGGCGCTCCGCTATCTGCCGGCAGAGATAACCTGACAGCCGCTCGTTTGGGGGATTTCTGTTCCGCAGCAGACTGAGTGGCTCCGTGGTTATATTGAGCATTCAGGACCTGTGTCTTCCTGGCAGGGGTTGCTTTGTCACTCCTCTTCAGTAACCGAACTGTGTTTGAACTTGACAGGATGAGGAGGAGCCACGAGCGTGTTTGTGGCCTTTAGAGTGTTTTTAAGGTTTAGGGTCTCGACTAGGACTTAGATTTGAAATACCAACAACACTTCAGCTGGGGCAGTGAGTCAGCGCTGAAGATTTCTTTTTCTTTTCAGCTTCATTAGAGCCTTTTGACTGTAAGAAAGCAGCAGGAAACTCGCCTCGCTCTTTGAATATATGCCTCTGAGACGATTCAAGTATTTAGATGCATAAATAACGCACAATTATGTTATGGTCTGTGTGAACACTCGACTCTGACTGGCTGCAGGGTGTTAATTACCGTCTAAATGAATGCACAGCATTGGCACCAGCTGGCTGCAGATACCTCTACAATATAAATTAATTAAATGAAAAAAATGAATATGTTATTTACAGCACTAAGGGGCAAATTCACAAAGAATGGATGGATTTTTTTACAGTTTCATTCCTTCTTTTTGTCTTATTTGGCTCGTTCTTAAAAAGCTGCACAATGTGCGAGAAGCTCTGAACTTACTGACACTTTGAATGAGCAGTCATCTCACATCCTTCTGGCTTGATATTGATTTGGGGACAAAGACGTGGCTGGATAATGTATCTTGTTGTTAAACATGCTGTCAAATTATATTTACTGTTTGTCGACTGTACGTAGTGTTATTGACATAGCGTTAGAAAAGAGAGAAGTCTCTCCCGTTACCAAGTCGTATCTAAAGTTTGCTATTTTATTTTTGGAGTAGATAGCAATGTTTGGATTACATAAGAACCCTGTGGATTTGTGATGATTGTTTCAGGTATTAGTCAACCATGCATGCTAATATAAGTGTATGATCTTAATTGTTTATCTTTGGCTTGTGATGATGGTATAACAGTGATAATGCAACCTCCCAATCGTCCATTCATTCCTGATAATGGACACCTTACATATACTATAAATACACACATACAAAGTAGCAATAAAAACCATGTAAGGTGACTAGCTTTATGTGTGTGTGCGTGTGTTTGTGTTGACTGCTGGTACATGTAACTTCATAAATGAGCAGCAGGTTTGGCGGTGCAGCTTTGTGTTGGATGATGCAGTAGTTCGGTTGAGATTTCAGGCTGCATCGTAAGTGTTTCTCTCCGTATTCGGTGGTTTGACATCCGCTCCTCTTCCCCTCGCGTCCCCCCTGAACAGCCTTGTTGAAATGCAGATCTGTATCGCAGCTGCAATAATAGGTTCAGTTTACAGTGTCAGACTGAGTCCTAACCCACTTGTGTGACATTAGCATATTTATCATTATCTGTGAGGTTTTGTCCATAATGAGCCAGCGCTGTCACAAAGAGGAGCACCATGTGAAAGACAGCACGTTCAAAGCCTTCAGAAAGCGGGTACAATTATATGAGTCTCCTGTTGATACAAATATAGTTTTGACAGTTGAATCTGTAAACTGTTTACTGTTATATATTTGTAATTTTTTGTATTTGATATTTGAAGTAGCTCAGACGGTTTGAGGTTTGTGTTTTTTGGTTGGACATTTCACTGTGTTGCTTTTTTGTTTCGATACAATATTTATGTTTGTGTTTACGTCACTTTTTGGTTGGAATTTTGAACATTTTGTAGTTGAGGAGCAGTAAATTAAATATGGAGTAAAAGAAAGTTAATTAAATATTAGTATAACTGATTGTTTAAGTCATTTTTCAAGCAAAATATTACCTCACATTACCTTGTTCCAGCTCCTCGGTTGTAAGGATTTCCTGCTTTTGTTTGTTTTGTCTAAATTTCAGGGTTTGAAACTAGCCATAGATGTCACCATGAGCTTTATGAAAAGGCTTTAAGTCTAATCTGTGTATTTCTGCCCACTTTCTAACATTTTATAGACAAAATACCTAATTGATTATTCAAAGAGACAATAATCATATCCAAGGATGGACGATATCTTGAATAAAACTATTGTTTAGTGAATGGTTTCCACAATTAGCTTAAGGTGTACATTTCTTTGGCCGTATCACCCATCCCATATTAATCGATAATAATTGCTAGTTGCTGACTCCGTAAGCAAACTGCATTTCAAGACACAAAGTTGTAAAGACACGCACACTGTATAACTTGCAATACTACATTTATTAACAGCACCTCTGTACCAGACCTTCATCAGGCAAAATGGTTGCCTCATCCTACTCCTAGGCATCTGTCCCATAAAATAGATGTGCAAAATGTTGACTGTTGAAATTGTTTTAATAAATAAAGCCTGCCTGAAGTTTACTGTGGAAAAACTGTAGGGACTTTAATGTTCAGGTCAGTCAGGTCCAAGTCCTCATTTTTTTGATTTAAGTCCAAGAACCAAACTCGATCTATAGCAAAATATGCTGAACTCTGCAATCTGTGCTTAACTCTACCTCAGCGGGTATCTTGTACCAGTGATGAAACCACTGGAAACACCGACTGCTGTTTGCTCCTCGCCTCCCTGTTTTACTTTCCAAACACATGTCATAATGATATTCAGATGTAAATCTTGTCTTCTACAGTTCATCGCAGTGTTTCTTGGACCAGAACTTACATTTTTAATTCATGTCCAAGTTCAATCTTTTTTTTTCTTTTGGTACCACAGGGGTATTTACTGAGGAAGACGGGTGTTATTAATTATTTTCCAAACCCAGCAATTAGCTCGTTCTTACTGACACACACATGCAGATGGTTATCAGTAGTTCTTTTCCCCTGGATTCATCTTGACGGCTCCCTCCCGCTTGAAATTTAATCTCCCACTGCGTGGAAAAATGTAAAGCAATCAAACCGCCTGCTCCCAAATAAACAAATGTGGGGCAATTATGGTGCAATAAGTCAACATGATAAAACCTACGCAAATAAACATAAACGCGCAAACAAGCAGAGCTTCTAAATGTTCTCCAGGAGGCAGTGGTTCGTGGGGATTACACGTATTAACAAGACTAGCCACTAATACTGCGGGATGAGGCTTATCCTTGGTCTGTTTATTGTGCTCAATGTATGTGGAGTCACTAATCTGCACTGCTTCAACTGTCTGCCCGTCCATCACTGTCAATTCACGTTCAGGTTGGAGGGTTTTATCTCTGTTTGAAACCTAGCTACTGGGCTCCTGCTGTCTGCTGGTTCTCTGCAAGTCCTCAAATGTCAGATAGAATTAGGCGAAGTTGCTTTTTTGAGGTCTTTAGTGAAGTGAAATGTATAATTT